TGAATGAGTCGAGCTTTTCATGCATAAAACGATTCCTGCTAGATGCTTTTCACTGAGTGGAGTACGTTATGCTCAGGATTTAGATGCAGATATGCTTTTAAGCAATTTAGCAGCAACCAAATTCGTCATTGTCGCCTCCAGGCAAGGCTTTCCAGGCTCCAGCTCTCGTCTCCGGCCTCAGTCACTCACAAAGGCAGCCTAACCTGGCTCACCTAACCAGAAGCAGCTGGCCGCAGTGGCTACCTGGAAGTCTGCTCAGCTTTACCTAGCACTCAGTAATTACATGGCCATTAGGCCACCTCCCAGCACCAAACCACACAGAGGGCTAAACTCAAAAAGCTGTCAGTGATTAATTACCAGTTGCGCAGTGAGTAGAGGATATCTGAGGGGATTGGCACAACTGTAACTGTATCAGGCCACTGGGATTACACACTTTGTGAAGCGGGGAGGGGGAGTGGAGCCCCGCCTGGCCACAACAAGTTGAAAAGGACTGTTTAGGTAGAGACTTGGACTACATGTGTGTAGGATTGTGAATCAAATCTGGATTTTACTAAAGGAGCCCAACAGATATTGCTGCATCTGCCTATGTTTTATTTTAAATTCGTAAGACGCGCCGCCAGCTGAAATGACCCCCTGCTGCAGACATGCCTGTGACAACCAGCGCTGGGTGTTTAGAGGGAGAAAGAAAAAGTCCCGCACATTACCAGTTGTTTGTTTTCTCAAGAGCACATTGGCGGTGTTTAACTGCCTGGCTTTTTGAAGTGTTAACTTCAAGAAATGCTGCAAAGTGGTAGAAGAGGAAATAGAGGAGGGGGGGTTTGAGGTGTATGGGTGAGTAAACAGGGAAAGAGCAAAGCACCAGTGCTTGCCGACTGCACATTTGATTATAGTCCCATTAAAATAACAGGCCCTGCATGGAATGAAGATCTCAGGGGAGGAGACGCTACACAATTTTTTTTAAAGCACAACTGCCCGCCAAAGCTGAAACAATCATTAGCAGGAGGCTCGCTCCAGTGGGTGTGACTTCAGACAATTCACAAAAAATGTTTGATGGTTTTGCTTTCCCCCTTAAACCCAGGACTATTTACACCAAATGTATAAAGTAAAACTGTTTTTCAAACTCAGGGTGCAGCCCAGAAAAATAATGAATGGGGTTCAACAAGGAAATTGGGCGCAGAGAAAAACTAATTTAGCATTGCAGATATACAACAATGGAAAAAAAAGTATATAAATCAATGAAGCAGTCTTTTTATTCCACACAATCTTCTTGTAATAACCTGTTGCATCCTCCTCATACGTTTTACTCACAAACTGCACATTCAGACCATGACAAAGCAATAACTAATGCATTATCGGACCAGTTTTTTGTATTTATTGTTGTCCCTTTTGTACTGAATGTAACTACTATTTCCCTTCTTTTTTTTAACTCAAGGCCTACAGTACCACACCAAACTTTGTAGACTCTGTCTTTCAGTTTCATGGCCATCCATCCAATAGTTATTGAGTTATTCCAGTTTGAACCAAAGCGGTTGACCGCCCGAACATCACTGAGGCCCTAGCCACACGGAAACGAAAACGAACCGAATTCGATATCAAAAAAGTCTTCCATCCACACGCAATAGACACCAGAAACGTGTCCTTCCACACGAGATCGCTCGACCCGCTGGAGACGCTGTAGTACATATGCCGGGCCTGTAAGTGGCGCTGTACTTCCGCCACAAAATACACCAAAAGCAGCGAAGAAGACATCCCGAGCATGCATGGTTGCCATGGTTGCCCTTCTGTTTATTCTCCGCGGTGGATTTAGCAGCAGAGGTGGGGAGAGGTAGGGCTCTGGCTCTTTTTCTCCCTCCCCGAGGCAAGCGTGTGCTCCTGCTGTAAATCTCCCCGGTAGTCCACCAGCAGATGAAAAACACCAACCTCTCCGCCTCTTCCAAGGGACGAGGGAACCGTGCGGCAGAGTTTCCGTTACAAATTTTTTTCGCCGGTCAACATGTCCGTTAAAGTTTAAATCTTCCGGACACAATTATAAAAGTGCCGGTCAAAGGTCTTCTTTGTTATTTATTGAGCTTTAAAACAAATGAATAACGACTCTATACAATAATATAAGAATAATACACGGAGTCTCTTTTCCTCTCCCTCTCCTGACAGCCCGTCAGTATTTTCGTTATCAGGAAATGATTGTATAGGGCGTAATCACGGAGCCGTTTGGCCCCCCCAGAGCTTTGCGTCCGCAGATCTACCCACCTTGGGACCCGTTATCGTTATCGTTATCGTTATCGTTATCCGCGTTTCCCTGTCGGCCTCGTGTGGCCGAACCGTCTATAAGATAGAGAACTGTAGCGGACCCGTTTCGTCACCGTGTGACTAGGGCATGAGAGCCATGACGCTAATGAAGCCAAAAACAATCTCAGGTCCAGACCCAATCACAGCCAAAGTGTGAAAATGCTTTCAGGCACTCAGGAGCTAATAACCGAGTGTGAAATGGCAGCAATACCAGACACGGTTAGAATGACGAATGGCTCCAGAAAAAAAATTATTCACCTTCATTAGCCAGGACTTACATCAGCATGAATAAAATAGACTTGAAGAAAGACTCTCTCAGATAAAAACTTCCTATGATTCAGAAACAACCTATAAAATATCCTCAAGCTATGGACCATTGCTCTGTCTTTGCATCCACTCCATCTTCTTTGACAGCAATAAAGTGAAGACTGTGAAAAGCACATTACGGTCCTCCCCTCAAAGAAAAAAAAAGCCACATCTGAGCCACGGGCTGTCTCCTAGACAGAAGGGAGGATAAATATTGAGTGAACCCATTCAGCATTCATAAAAAGATATTTGGCCTGAAATAGCTTCTCCAAAGCATTACCAAAGTATGGCACAAGTTCACTGCATGAACCTTACGATATTAAATACACTACAGAGTCTTCAAAGTGTACCGATGATATATATGTTTTTATGTAACCACTGTAATCACTTTTAAGAGTGCCAGTTTCCAAGATGGAGCTCGGTGCCGCCCTGGGTTGAGCGTCGTCGCGCTTCATTTGATGTGAAATGTTTTCGTTGTTTTATTTCTATGCTTTACAGAGATGTGGCGGGAGAGAATACATAGCAGGCATATGATAGGGATTGAGAAAAGAGAGCAGCGTGATTGTGAGAGGCTCATTATGGTTAATACTTTCAGTACTTGTGGCTCATTAATTTAGGCATTTCCACTCAGCAGCAGATGACTCATTTGCAATTGATAAGATCACTTGTGAAAACAAGAAAATGCATCTCATTCATTTAGAGTTATTGCATTTACCAGCCCTGTTTCTTTGATTATGATAATGGTACTTTGATTATGTTTGTGGCAGTGGGAATCTTTTCATGGATTAAGGCGGTTAGATGTAAGACTCGCAAATATTCCGTCTTTCTGGTTCTGCATGATGTGAACACAAGAGGTGTATATCTTTTCTTTTTTCTTAAAACAGAAGTGTGTTGAGATTTAACAATGCAGCATCAGTAAAAACAGGAAATCATTCTTCCAATGTAGCATTTTTAAGACGTGAATTATTCAATTAAGGCCTTATTTTTAAATGAATGTATTTTTCAGGACTGCTTTCTGTCTCCACAGAGGGTTCAGAGGTCATGGTCCCCAACAGAACAGTCCCTGGTGTTAGTAAGATGTCAGCTTCCTGCCAAGGGCACATCACTCCTGCTGCACAGATGCTTTCTGACACCTGGATTGTCCATCCGAAAAATCCAACCACAAGGCTTCCACTCTGCACAATGTCACAGCCATGACCTTTCCATTGAGGTCGCCTGCAGTATGTTCACACTTACTGTATTACATCCCCAGCTGGAGCCCACTGAGGCTCTGATGTGGACGGGTGCATCAGACTTTCAAAAGTTGTGAAAACATGCCAGTCAGTTTCCTGCAGCATGCAGTCTAACTGTGGCTCAGCAGTTACAGAGAGCAGTCTGCAGGAACAAGCTAATGTTCACATGTGGCTCAATGAGAGCACATTTCTGCCATGCACAGTGACGTGTTATTTACAAAAAGGTGACATACGACACTTTATTCTGATTTCAAGGATTCCGTTTTTATCCCAAATGTGCAATTTTTTAGAGGCAACAATATTTCACAGAAAAAATACACATCTAGTGGAATCCTAAAGAAATGCACATATCCAAGTGTCTTATGCATGAATCTCATAAATGCCAACTTTTTTGTGAGCTAACCATCCCGGTTTTAGCTTTGACAAAATGCTTTTTTCATCCAATGGCTGGTTTTAGGGTTTGTTTTTGAAAAAGTAGGACCAGTTATCCACTAATTCATATTATTGATTTTAGAAATGTTTGTCCACAATCCTGAGATGTTTAACAGATGGAAAACATTCTTAATTGAAAAACTGAATAACCATTAACTTCCATTAAAATTGGTAAGTAGCTCATCATATTCTGTAAGCATAATGGAGCTCAAATATCAGGAGCAGCATTGACAGTTTTTTCCCAATGAGTTCTTACACCGATGCACATGAAAAAATGTGATGTTCTGGCTAACATTGTGCAGCATTCCCTCCAAAACTCTCGAGCTACATCTCCCCACACTGCCTCACTAACCAAACCTCGACTCCATCCCAAAAATGACCAGAAAGCTGAAGGAATAAATGTTTCCATCTACTGGTGGGAAATGTGAATTTCAACATTTATTTTCCAAGTGAGCAGACAACATCTCAAACAACCCTTCAGCACTTCTATGTATAGAGCGCTGTTAAATGCCTTTCTTTCTGTTAAGTTTAATGGCAGTCAGCTGTCTGCATCCTTCATAGCAACTATCAACACTGCCCATGCAAACTGCCACCATCAGGTTTCAATTAAATAAACTAAAAGGCAGAATCAGAAGGCTTCCATTCATTCTAACACCAACTCACACACAGGCTTAACCCCAGTCTCACACACCTGCAGAAAACCACATGTCCACAATGCAATGGGAGAAAAGTAGCTGTATGTACCTGGAGGGCAGCTGCATTCAGGAGATGCTTGTCTGGCAGTCCGGATCTTGACAAATTGTTCATAGGTGCGCTGAAATGTGAAAAGAATGACGTTTTTATTCAAAAGTGCGTGTTTAGGGGAAAGTAAAACAATTAAAGAAGAGGGTGAATCTTACCTGAGAGAGCAGATCATCCACTCGTTGCTCAATCAATGAATTAAAATCATCCATGGAGTAGCCCGGGGCTCGGATCAAGGTGTGCTCGTCATTCCCACTCTCCAAATCCACAACCCGGTTCTTCACGTCAGCTGTGTTAATGCTCAGGAAAATGCAAAAGGCGATGGACGCCACTGAGCATAAAGACGAGATAATGTTCACCACTGTTGTGCGGCAGTGTTGTCGCTTCTGAGGCGCCACTTCTTTCTCCATTTTTTCCACGCACTTAGATGCTCCTCTTGCCTCCGAGATCTCCATTGAACTACAACTACACGCGCGTGTTGAGAGCAAACTGCATCTGGCGCGGAGTCACGAATGTATGGCACACTGTGACTGTGCTGCGTGTGTGTGTGACTGCGACGCCGCGTTCACGTACAGGGACTTTGTGGCGACAGAGAGATGAGTGGAGCAAAGTCAACCTGCACACGCACGGCTCCTGCTAACTTGTTGCACCGAGCGCTTGCACAGTAGTCTAGCTGCAGAGGAAATTGCTATAATGCACAATAAAGTACAAAGAGAGGCTGGGGAAATGGAAGGCAGTGTGCATGTAGCAGAGGCAGCTTTACCACTCGGAGCTTTTCCACGGTGCAGGCATGCTCCCCCTCATTACGGCAACAACACGCCTCCAATCTGTCCTGACTGATTAACATAATGTATTGACCCGCTCCTTGTGCGCTTTTACAGTCGAGCACTATTGCCATTAGTTGACATGGAGTGCAGTTATATTGTATTCCTGTCACATCTCAAACAGGACGCTGCGTAAACATGCAATTACTGGTTGCGTTTTGTAAAGAAAACATGTTTTACTGTAAGGGCAATAAAGAAGAGCACGCATAGAAAATAATTCGTGGGTATAATTTATGTTTGAATTTTATTTTCTGCAGCCAAAGAATGGCAACGTTGACCATGGCGCTGCGTAAAAACGCACGAACATCTTAAAAGCTCTGGGAGGAAAGAAGCGCTCACTAAAGCGTGCAAACATGAGAATAGATCTTGATTGTGTTCATTAGACATCATGCAGAGGAGGGCACACAGTATGTCCCTTTGCTACTGATAGATGCCTCGAATTCAAGTTACAATCTAATTTAGTGGATTTGGGTAACACAAAACAGCAGATAAAGTGGATAGAGATTCACATTGCATGACACTGCATAACTGCGTGGATTGAGTGAGGATTGTGAAGACTTAGTCTCAATATGTTTGCAATTTGCATCAACTATAATCCACATAACTGTGAAGTTTGCCTGAATGGTGCAATGATAATCTGTTTACAAGTCTAACCATCAATGCAACAAAGTTCTCTGTGTTTAAGCATTAACTGCCATTTGAATTTAATGTGCATACTTTGGCTAAGACAAATCAGCATCTACCCCTCTACACTGTTCACCCGTTTCAAGATGACAAAATGAACCCTGGGTAACTTTTACAATGACCACAAATCAAGCGCAATTTAAAAAGGAATCCTCAAGACCTTTAAATGACAGAGACAGCAAGATACTGACATTATCGTTTGTTTTCTTGCATAGTTTGCAGGCAAAGCTATTCCCACAATGCATCACATAATGAAGAGGATTTGAAGATGGTGAATGCCTACAGGTGTTTTTAATGACTTTACCTGATGAGGCTTCTTCATGCTTGATTGACATCTCTCAATATTCTGTTAGCACCTGTTAGATTTAGACTCTTAAACTCTTATTGGTGGATTGAGTCCTCTGACATCATGCAACCTCAACCTGAGCAGATGTCTGATCAGCCAGAACAACTGAAGGAAGCATGTATTAGAAACGACAAGTATTTCCAGTAGGCCTACTTCTATTTCAATTCCAAACTATAAAGGGGTCCCAATATAACACATGTACATTTGACAAACAGGCAAACACCGATTCTAAATAAAAACTCAATTTATTAAGCTGTGTTTTGTCACTCTTTACATTAATACTTTTTTTTAATTAATAGGGCTTATATTAGATGTCTGGCGCTAGTGGTCTCTATACGTTCTTTAACGCGTTGGGCGCTATCTAGTGGACAAAGACAGAAATGCATCTGATATTATGGCTTCCATAATTCATAATTCAACATTTGTGCTAGTAGAATCCCCATGACAACATCCGTGAGTAGTTCACGAGGTCAACCGTTCCCTTGTGTGTGCGCGTGTGTTTGTCAGATATATCCCCCACTGCCTTTTTTTTTTTTGGACATGCTACAAAGTGACAGATTGGGTGCTGCGACAAAGTCACGTTGCAAAATGCACGATCCAACTGCACTTTGCATATTCAGCATTACAAAAAAAACGGAGGAAATTGTAATGGATGATGGACTACTTTGTTTACATTCAAAAGTGGATCCTCTGCTTTATATAACATTACTACAGGAGAGATTAGAATCCTCCTTAAACGCCAAAATGCGCATCATCACGCGCAGCCTTGACAACCGGCGCATCAGTAATCCGTTGATGTTTATTTTTAGATTTCTCGTCCGCTGCGTTCTACTCTCGTTCAACACACAGCCATGTTCCTCTGGTCAATAATTCATATGCTGTAGGCCTGCAACAGTCACCGAGCAGGCTGCATCCACCCGGGACACAGGACGCCAAAATGCAGGTGAAGACCCAAAACCCCCAAAACATGAGGCAGCAAAACGGAAAACCACCGGCCACATCTGTGAGGTGAGATCATCTTTGTATAAGGTTTTATCTAAACAGAGGAAATATTGCAATTTAAAAAAGGCTTTCATAAAGAGAACCCAAAATACTAGCTAGTGACCTGCTTGTATTTTTCAAATGTTACTTTGTTTTCAATGGAATTACCTGCAGTTACAAGGTATTATTTGACAAAAAAATGTATAATTGGATTTATTTTAGGGGTTTTATGCTGCTTTCAAAGTTATAGGAGCTTATAAAACCACACATGTATACATTATATTTGTTAAAATGTAGAAATGGGACCACAACTTTAGGAGAATAGACAACTGTTGTATTCAGTTGTATGTGTTCACTGTTTGTTTTACTTGTGCATTTAAACCTTTTTATACTGCCTTTTGTTGTTTTACATTTTTATTTGTAACCAGTTTGTAAGTAGATTAAAACACAAAAGCCCAATGTGTAAAACTTGCTTTTTGATTATCATTGTGAAAATGTAGAAATGTGCTAACTCGGGCACACAAATGTAGGTAAAATAACATTCATGAGTTAAATGTTTAATTGTATTCTACTCTGAGGTTTAAATACCGAGTTGTCCACTCAGTATTAAAACCTTTTTATATTTACTTTAGTTTATTTTATACTTCTAGCATTAATAGGATTTGTGTGGATTAAACACAATGTTCTTGAGAGTTAAACTTGCCTTTCCTTGGTGTCCAGGAAGCCGCTCGGAGAGAGAGCCCACAAACGGATCTCCATGTCCACCGAGTACCAAGAGAAGTTCCTCCCCCCGCGCTGCCATGCGTCCATGGTCACCAGCGCCCCACAAAAAGCCCCTTACCACACGCTGAAGGGGACCAGCTCTGACAAGGGCTCACTCATGTAAGAGTTAAAAGTCTAGTCCTACATTTGAGAGTGTGTCTGTACTCCCCACCTGTGAGGCACAACAGTCCATGCTGCAGTGCTGCTGGGTGCACAGGTGTTGTGGTGAAAGACATTCTGGGAAATGTAGGTCCCTGGAGTTGAACAGGACACAAAATGATTCCTGAAAACAAATCCTAGAACATTGACAACCTACACAAACAGAACTGTCTACAAATGTTAACTATCATATGAATGTAAACAACTACTAATGTAGAATTTTGTGTTTCAAAAGGATTTAACTGATTGGGGGGGGAAAATAGATTTTTAAATGTCACAACAATCCAGGTTTTCCATGGCCATGGGAACCCTGAGCACACGGCTCACACAGCATAAGGAGAATGTTGGAGGAGGTGTGGTTTTAAACCTGTATAAGACAGACAAAAATAAAAAGCTAAAGCTCATATCATTAATGCGTTTCAGAAGAGTCTATGTAACCCACAAATATACGCACCATCCACCGGAGGCTCCGCGGCAGTCTCTGCCCCCTAAAGTCCAACGCAGATGCAGCAGCGCTCCCCAAAATCCTGCGCGCTCCATAGCCAACCAGGTGGCAGCCATGTTTTACACATCGGTGTACAAAGGTAAGTAGAATCATACGTTGCAGAACAACAAATACACACACTCTGATTTTAAATCCATTCTCCCCTTCTCTTATTTTCAGATGATTTCCAGGCATGGAAGGTAATCAAGCGGCAGCCGTATAAGCTAACTGACAGCCTGAAAGTCAACCAAGGATTAGTTGCCCCAATCAGCACTTCCAAACAAAGTCCCTTCCAGAAAGTTCACGGAGCTCAGTCCAAACCAGTCCCAAAGGAGCTAGAACCTCAGCCGATTGAAAGCATCACCAGCTATCGATCAGACTATGTCGTCCATCCGGTGCAGCCCAGGAAACGCAGGGAACAGCCGGTGCAGCAAAACAAAGGTCTGCCTCTACAGGCGGCAGTGCCCCTCTACAGGGAACTCTTTGACGCAGCCCATAAGTCATTTGAGAACGGGTCCCCTGAAACCCAGTTCCAGGGCCGAGGTAAAGCCAAAGAGTCCATTCCATCTGCAGATGTGAACCAGTTCATCTCCACGACACACGCAGACTTCCCGGCACACAAATGTCAGCGCACCAAACCAATACTGCCATCTGGGGAGCACAGAGAGAGGGCCAACGAGCCCTTTGAGTCCACAACCACCATGAGGGAGGCCTACAAAGCTTGGGACACACCCAGGTGCAGGCCAGAGCAGGCCCTGCCCAAGAAGGCAACGTTCTCACTGATCACACATCAGCCTATCGAGAGCTGCAACACAAACCAGAAGCCTTTCAGCCTTAATCCCAAAGTGAGTGACACTGAAGGGGGCAAGTCCACCGAAAAACCTCCTCGTTCTGCTGAAGACGGAGGATCTCCCAGCTTGGATCGCACCTCCCCGGACACTGAAGAATCCAGGACGTATCAGAAGAGCTTTGGGGACAAAGCAGTGAATTGGTTCGATGGTGGGATTTGTGAGGAGAGCCCAGAGGAGAGCTCTGAGGAACACCACATCTACAGCTACACGGTGTCCACCAAAAGCTGAGCTCTCTGAGGACACGTTACCTCCACCTTTGCAGCAATAAAAGCCATTAACAGCAGTGATATTATGTAATGGCAGCTATTTTTATACTATTAAGCATCTCACTGATTCTCCACAGCATATTTTGAGTGCTTTATAATCTACTTAACTGAAGGCTTCCATATTCCGAGTAGCAAATAAGTTCATGATTTAGGAATCAAGAAGATATTGGACTATTAAGCTCTAGTGTTCAAATGAAAACGCTCCGAAGTATTATTTAGGAATGAGTACAAATTAATGTTAAGAGAATAATTGTTCCTCTCACAAACTTGATAAACATGTTATAAACACCAAACAATAGATACTGTAATAATGAAATAATTACATTTTATTTAAAAAAAAGACAAATATCCTCAAAAGGAAAAGCTTGGACTTGTCCACGTCTGAACTGGGAGAACTTTCAAATCAATCATATTTACATCATATACAACTAAAGCTTTCTTAAAAAACATTAAAGCTATCATTTAAAATGTGGCCAAATTGTCCATATGCATATCAGCCTTCCATATCATCTTGGGTGCTCCAGTGCTAACAAAAAAAGGACACATTTTAACACGTAATTCATTAAATTTTGCATTCAGTTCTCCTCCAGCTAGTTCACATAAACATCAACAGTCCCCTTCGAGTGAAGTCCACATAGTTCATCGTGTTTGTGGTCAAAAAGTCGTCAGTCTTCCTGGAAACGGATGTGCTTAGTGGCCTCCTTGGCCCGGGCGAGGATGATTTTTTCGGCTTTGGATATGAGCTGGAGTGTTACACAATGAGAAATCAGATGTGAGAGTGAGTAAACAAAGTAAGGAGGCTCGGCTCAAATGTGTATCCAGGTGGGGTCAGGATAGGCTGTTTATCAAATATACAATCTTAACCTTTCTGTCTGTTATGCATTTTACAATATCAAAACACTATTTAAAGTCTGTATTACTATATCACAGCTAAAGATTGTAATTTCTCATACACTTGCTAAGAAATTACTGTTAACATGTTTCATACTAATGGAACAATCAATAATATATTGCTGTGCACGGTAACATGGTAACTATGTTTGTTTTTATTTAAAAATCTAGAGGTTAATCTCACCTTCTCTGTGCCCCTCTTCTTCTCCCTCGGGCGATTCAGTTTCACCTGTCGGTCCACTAAGATCTTCTGCCAGTACCGTTGTTCATGATCACCTTTAAAAAAAAAAAGCATAGAACAGATATTTACATCGCTGAGATTAATACTCACGACACAAAATTAAATCTATGATCCTAAAAAGAGAATGCAAGACAAGCGAATGACCTCCTTTAAATCACATTTAAAAGAGCAGCCGAGTCATCACCTTCCATTTCCTGAGAGATGATTAAGTGTTCATATAGGCAGAAAAGTAACCATTCCTACCTGAGAGGACCTCGAGCGCCCAGCTGTGCTCTTTCTGCAGCTCTGCTCTCACGTCACTCACAGCTTTTGCGTCGTCGGGGGTGTGAAAGCGGATGTGACCCTCAGAATCTCCATCCAGCGTGTCGATGTACGCCACAGGGGACACTTTGGACAGAGCATCCTGCACAGAATACCACAGAAAATTCATAATAATACAAATATATGCAGGATTACAATTTATTGATAACTAGCTCACGTAATAATTGTCATATTAATGGTTTCATGATTTCCACAGGAGGCAAATGCTCCTTTATCATTTAGTATTGTGCTCTTATACTATCACAGACACTTAAAAAAGGTGCATCTAAAATGTTTTTATTCAAACAATGCAAAGGTCCACTTATCATTTTATTTCACATTATATACAAACTACTTTTTGTGTATATTTGTAGTTTTTTTACTTCTCAAAATCCTTATTACATTCCCTTTTACATCTGTTTACATTCAAATGTTAACTTGCAATACGCTTCATTATAAATGTAATATTGTCTACCACCACATATTTATATAATTGTATTTAATATTGTATTTATGTTTGTATTTTAACCTCATGTTATAGATTCTAATTTAGCTTTTACTTGCTTGATTATGTTTTTCTTCATATTTATATTAAATGAGAACTGTTCGAGCAGGAGTCTCAAACTCAAGGCCCGGGGGCCAAATCCGGGCCTGCGACTTCATTTTATGTGGCCCCGCAAGAGCTTGCAAAGAATAAAATACGTTTATTATACGGTTACATGCCACTATACAGAAGCAGGTTGCCCATAAACTACATGTCCCACAATGCATCTCGTTTTGTGACATGTGCACTGAAGAGACTTGCAATTATTTGCCCTGGACTTCTGCTTTCAGACGTAGTTAATTACTAAGTTATTATCCTATCCGATAATAATCCAATTCAGAGGCAATAAAGTAATATAATACATTGTTTGATATATATATTATATATTTATATAGTTACAACCGGCCCTTTGAGTACAACCTTTATGCGAATGTGGCCCGCAATGAAATTGAGTTTGACACCCCTGTGTTAGAGGGTGACAGACATTTTGTATTGGGAATGTCTGTTTATTTGTAACTTTGCATATGATAAATAAACTATTGATACAAGTTTTGTGAGTCTTTATTCATGATTCGATCACCGCACACAGATGATAATAATGCTAACGTTGTACTGTACCTTGATGACCTTCCTGGCCGGCAGCGGCTTGCTGTCTGTGATCTTCAGGATGACTCCGCTCGTATACTGAGGGCCCTGGTTATTCACCTTCTCACTTTTTTCACTCTCTTTTTCACTCTCTTTTTCATTCTTCTCAACTAGCGGAAAGAAACACACAAAATAACAAAATTACTAGAAAATGTTCAATAATACTAGCTCCTCAATATTATTCCCTCAAATGCGATGTTTTTGGAGTAACACGGTGATATTAATACTGTGTATAAGACCGGTTCGACAGTCTTTATGTCATGTTCAGTGATGTTATTGTAAGTAAAATGCAACAGATTATTTCAATTTGATTATTTTCATTATTAATGTATCTAGAAAAGAATTGGCGCAATCATTTATATCAAGAATAATGAGTCATTATAAAATGGTGAAAAAGGTTCATCGCGGTTTTATAAAAACCCAATACATCAAAATAAATCCACTCTATTTTGATATCAAACTGGGAAAATCAGGAAATCTCTATATTTGAGAGGAAAAAACAGCATTATTGCATAACACAAATAACTTTAACAACAGGTTTGACAGTGTTCATGCCATGTTCACTGATATGTAAAACATGACGCACTCCCATGTACCAGTTTTATGAAAATGTAAAGGGAAAAAAAATAGGTGTCGCTCCCATGAGAAACAGAATTCCCAAAAGGTCTTAACCAAACCATGCCTTTAAGGACCGTGCTTTGTGCACTGATAATGACTATGAGAAAGAGGCCACACCCCCATCATGAGGCCTGTCTCTGTGGCGCAATTGGTTAGCGCGTTCGGCTGTTAACCGAAAGGTTGGTGGTTCAAGTCCACCCAGGGACGTTCGAACCTTATTTTAACACGTCATGTAACAAGCCATGTGCATCAAACCTGATTTTGGCATTCATTTTTGCTTCTATATCTACACAATTTTTGGTTTTCAAGGGAATATCAACCCCTTCATTTACGACCCCTGCTTAAAGCAATGATTTTAAAGAACTAGAAGAACAGCTTGCAGTTAGTCCATCTGAGACAAACTCACTGTGTTCTTCTTTAGGATCGTCCTTCTTCTCCACCACTTTCTTGGGCGCCTGGTGATGGATCTGATTAATGCACATCTTCAGGGACGTCATGCTTTTCTTCTGCAGGGTCAGATACTCATCCTTCAACTCGAGCCACTCTTTCCTTGACGTGGACGAAAGAGGAACGGAGTTATTCAATCAATGCGTTCAAATAATTTCACTATGAAAAAGGGGTTTTCATCTATTTTCTCATTGGTGTTGACACATGCAGAAAAAAGGGATGTGGGGTCTTACTTCGACAGAACCCGGAGTGGGATGACTTCTTCTTCGATTTTCAGTTTCTCCTTGTGTTTCTTATTTCTCTTCCTCTTTGCTTTAACTGTGGAATCATCTCCGTTTTCTTTCCCGTCCTCATCACCTCGCTCTGTGTCATTCTTACTGGGCGGGTCTGAAAAGGGGAATAACACGGTCAAAACAGCTGACTCATGGTTTCAATGCTGTACAAACGCATCGTCATGTATTTTCAGATTGTGAAAATACAAAGCGAAGAGAGAGGAAGGAGGAAAAGGAAACATTTGTATTGTCTTTTAATCATTCGTATTATTTCGGAGCATAATCTGCTCACTTACCCGTCTTTGTTGAATCTTTCTCCTTCTCTCCAGCTTCACATTTACTCGTCTTCCTCATCTTGGATGGTATTTCGCTTTCAGGTCCCTCTGCTGTCTGCGACCGTCGTCTTTTTTTCTCCGACAGTTTGTCCGGTGTCTTCAGAGTGCCAGGGTCCTCCGATTTAAAATCCCCCGTTGATGAGCGCTTCCTCTTGTGCTCAGACGGCTCTGCTTCCATCTCCTGCTCTTTAGATTCTTCAGTGGAAGTCTGCGCTGTGGCACTGTCTCTCTTTTTCTTCTTCTTTCGCTTTTTCTTCTCCTCTTCTTCACCTGTAGTAAAGTCAAGACATGGCATCAATACAACACATTGCACCTCCAGGCTCTTTCTGGTTATTATGGCAGCATCAGATTTATTTTTAGTCAGTGAACTCTCCTTAGCTTCTTAGTTTTGTATTTATTCTTTTCTTATATATTTTTTCTAAGTAGTAAATTGATCTATTACATCATTCTAACTATAGTTACTCTATACATTTTATCTTACTACTGTTAATATGAATATTTATTTACTGTTATCGTTTGTTTTTCCCAATGGAAAAAGCAAGCAATAACCTTTATCTAAACCAGGGGTGTCCAAACTACGGCCCGGGGGCCAAATGCAGCCCGTGGACCATTTTGAATCGGCCCTCAGCAAATTAAAAAAATATAATGCAGTATGGCCCTCAAATGAAACGTGTGCTTGTCTTTTACTTCTTAAATATAGATGTTAACAGATATTATATAGTAGTATTCATGTGTTAATAAGCCCAATAAAAAAAAAAGTTCAATAACTTATTTTCATAACAAGCTTGAAATATATCCTTCCTATTTCCTCTGATTATAAGCAATCTGAGGCTTCTGTTGTAAGGAATGAGCTGCCAACAAAATACGTGAAACCCTAACCCCTAGATTCCACCGGGTCCGTCTGCGTCGCGTTACGGCCGCGCCACGGCGTTCGCAAAGATCGCGGCCACTCTAGTCAATGGGTGCTATTCCACCAGACGCGCCGCGTTACGGCTCAGAAGCGTCTCGGCGCTGGGCTCCGCTCAAAATAGGATTCAAGTCTATTTTTCGACGTGACGCGAGGCGTTGCAGAGGCGCCGGGCAGGAAGGGGACCGGTCAGAGCATCCGGCCCATCCCCAAAATAAACTAATTTTGCAGACCCTAAAAGTAGGAGGAGAAATGCCAGCGTTCTCCTCCGGTTTACAGGCACTGTGTAAATGATATATATAGAATAATTATGATGATGAATGCATTTTTTTTACCACTAAAATACAGCAACACATCTTTGATTCATGTCGTTTATAACTGGGATATTACAATTATTATTAACTTTGTCTGTACAAAGTAGCCTGTCCAGGAAATATGCCCAAATCAACAAAAACTGCGAGCCGGCAGGCAAGACGCTCCGCTTCTGAAATGCTTCTGAAACGCGCCCGGTAGGGTATGACGCCGGAAGAGGCCGGACCAAAACCGCGGCGCAGCCGTGACGCGACGCAGACGGACCCGGTGGAATCGAGAGGTTAGGAGAGATTTAGGAGAGCTGTGATGTACGCTGATTAAGCATCATTTACTTACATTTGATGGATTTTGCCCACTTATAACTTAACTTATGAGACAATAAACCTCACCTGTAGTGAGGGGCCCAGCCCTTTGTATATTTTTCTGTATGTGGCTCTCGTGAAAAAAGTTTGGACACCCCTGATCTAAACTAATCAGTACATGTTAAAGAGAAGTAAATAAGGAATGTTTTTGAATAGCGGTACCTGATTGAGGATTGTCGGCCGGATGAGGGAGGGGCTTCCCTTTCTTGCACTTGGGGAACAACCCAGGCTTCCTGGGAGCGTCTTCAGGGGGGTTGTTGAGCATCTGTTCTCAAGAGATCAACATGTTCCGTTAGATTTCCTCCTGACAGAAGCAAAACACTGGGCTGGATTAACAATTATTCATAATATGTGTTTACCTCTATGGCCCTCTGTGCTTGCTCCTCTGTCTCAAACTCCACAAAGCCGAAACCCTTTGGGTCTCCGGAGGTTTTGTATCTTGGGATGCTGACATATACCACATTCCCGCATTTCGTGAAAACTTTCTCGATCCAGCGGTGCGACACATATTTGGGCAAAAGTTCCTTGTGGCAAAAAAGAAAACATTTATTATTTTATGATTCAAAATAGAGCTGCAAGTAATGATTGCTTCCATTAGTGATTCAAATAACTAGTCTTGTTTGTCAAAAAGCCTCCCACATGAAATAGCTTAGAGCAAATTAACATGTTGTACTATAGATGATAGCATAATAAAAATCAAACTCTTTTTACCACGTAGACAGTGCGGCTGTCCACATTACTCGGCATGTCTCCAATCGGTAACTGACGTCTCACTTTATCTCCCTCGAGGTTCACCTGAAACACAATACAAACACATTTCTGGTCAATGCATTAAACAGACTTATTGAGCCATGGAAAACATCTAAGAAATCCTACAGAAGATCGACATGATTCTGTTCAAAGTACCTCAACGACAGATGAATTTGTCACGGCTCTTGCAATCAGCTTGGTGTCGGTTGTCAGCCTCTTCATCCGATTGAAGCTCGCCAATACCGATACGTCGACATCTAAAAAGAAAATTCAGTCAATTGCTTTAGACATAATGCAGTGCCTTCAATTCAAAATGTGCACTAAATAATGAAATGGCTGATAATAACACAGAGTATTATTGTTCTCCCTCACATCCATCGTCTGACTCGTCGATGAGTTTCTTGAGAAAGCGGTCCTTGTGAAGGTTGACGTCTCCGAACCAGAACTCCACTTGCTTCTTCACGTCCCCCATCAGCTGTTTGACACGGGACCTCTTCTTTTTCTCCAGCTCCATGCTCTTACTGCTGGGTTCAGCTGGACCATCATCACCAACTCCCCTCTCTGTGTCGATCATCCTGAATGTGGGACTGTGACACAGGTCATTGTCAGATTTTTTTAATTAAACAGTAAATCAGCAGAGCTATGTCCATTAAGGTGTACTGTACGATTTCTAGAATGAAGAAGGGGAGCAAACATATGCTTTCTTCAGTGAAGCTGCAACAAATAGTCGATCAACAGAATAGTAGTTTGCAACTATTTTGATAATTGATACATCTTTTATGAAATTATTCATGCACGAATGGAAGTACAAGCAGTCCTTCAGGTTACTGACTTATATAGGAGACCTTTCAAAAGGGTGTATGTTCTCAGCAATTACTTGTGTCTCTTATATGTTAAATATTTAAAAACAGCCAGCAGGTGTTGATAAATCCTTGGCCCTTCATATAGTTCAGTTGAAATGTGGCCCTTCATAGTACATATTTGACAGATAGGCTTCAGATATATATCTTTCACTGTCAATATGTTTATATTTAGATTTGTAGCTCTGTGTTATTTTCTATTTTATGATATTTATAGTTTGTTTGTTTATTTTCTATTTTTTTGCATGTTCACATTATGTGAAATTCCGTTTTTACTAGCTGCTATGAAGGAACAAATCCTACATTGGGATCAGTAATGTAAATCTTATCCGGTCTTAAACCCATACTCTCAAATTGGCTAAACAAATTAGTATCATACAAACTCAATTGTAACATCAATCTCGCTTCATTATTTACCTTACCAATCTTTTAAAATGTTTATTTGTATCAAGAATGTAGGACCATGGGATGACCACATGAGAAGTACATTACTTTGACAAGTATTCATATTGAGTTTAATAACTCCTATACGCTGAATACACCAGTCTATGATGAACACACCCCTTGAATAGCATCAACACATCACATTGATATCGCTAGTTACTAAAACACCGTTAGCTTGACATGTAGCAACCATAGGGTAGCAACTCTACATTAGCTTCTACGTAAAGCCAAGTTACGTAGTGTGTTAGCTATAGCTACCAGGCTTTAGCAAACAGCTGTAAGTTGTTATGAGTATTCGCGGGTAAGCTTTTAAAAAAAAGCTGCAGTCATAGCCACTGCATTTCAAAACAATTAAATCCTTCACTTAGCATTAGACTTGCGTGATGATTTAAATAACTCACCCAGTTTAAGATGTGGAAACAGCTTAGCTTGCTGACCTTTAAATAACAGAAAGCGAGTTAGCTTGCTGGCTAACTTTATAAAATCGTCTTTACTTCGTTGTCGCAGAATAATTTCGTCATATCTGAAGTAGGGAAAGCACTTCCGCTACTTAGCTTTCAAAATAAAATGCAAAATAACTCTCTGAAGTTTTAACATTTTATTAACAAACGTGCACAAGTTACGATAAATCGAACTTTTCTGTAAACATTGTTTTTAAATACACATATACACGACAGACATATCAACGTCATACACACAAAGACCAAGATTCATTGACCATTAAGATCACAATAAATATGAAAAATATCAATACTAAGTTTAAATTAAGTGTCTCCATAAAAACATTTTGTGTATAGGTAAAGGAAGTATAGTTTAAAATAGTGTAACAAAACTAAGGCCCCAAAAGAAGTCAAGATTTGGTATATAATTTTTACTTTACATTTGGTAACACGTGGCCGGTTAGCTCAGTTGGTTAGAGCGTCGTGCTAATAACGCGAAGGTCGCGGGTTCGATACCCGTACTGGCCAGGACACATTTTTGCACGTGTTACGGAAATAAGTCAGCACCAAAGGGACATTTGACTTGTGTTGTCTAGCTTATGACTCAACTATGGTCCTCATCTTAATTAGAAGCTCAAAATGGTCTCAAACTTCTCCAGCTTCCTGAGCATGTCGTCCTCGGTGCAGATCTCAATCCTTTGCTTGATGAGCTGTAACAGTTGCTTGTAAAAATTACTCGCCCACTGGCCTTCCAAGCAGTGGACGGATATGTTGCACACTTTGTGGAGAAATGTTACTAACTTATCATTGCTGCTGACCTCACATCTTTTGAAGACCCATTCCCCCCATCCTTCCCAAATACCATTGTCTGTGAAGCTCACAGTTATGCTTTCTTGTGTGCAAAAGGAGTCTGGATCTGTGTCAGCTAGGTCATTCCAGATGGCTCTGTATGAAAATGAAGAGACTTTAGAAAAAAACGTGTCTAAATATAGATTATAATTTTTATTATTAAAAAAGTCACACTCACACAATTTTTTTCAGAGGGTACGGGGTCAAGTCACTGAGGGACAGCAGACCTCTGTAGCTCACTCGGTTTCCCTCCATCCTGTGATTCAAAAGAATATACGTTAAGTTGTATGGCTTCTAAAGTGCTACTAAAGTGAGCTGGAGTGCACTTAACCAAATTGAAAGCTAAATTGCAGCTGAATGTAAAAGGCCATTAAAAACATGCACCCAAAGGCTGGTATGGAATACAGTTGGGAAAATAAAGGGCCAAGCTTGTGATACATTTTTTTCACGCTTTAGAAAAGAGACTACCTAGATGTATATGTAATAGACTCTTTCTTTGTTTGGTCACATTTTATTATATTCTTCCATACTTTTTAGTTTTTATGTTCTTTTCTATTGATTTCCTTTCTGTTTTCAGTGTGAACCCAGCATTTTAATGGCATTTCAATAAAGCAGGTAGAATAAAAAACTGTGGGTTTACTGGAGAGCTGATTTAGGTTGCCTTTGCACCAGTTGTGAAACCTAATTAAACACTATTCTCCACATAACTCCATCTCTAGCTATTACAGGAACCATGATTCAGACATTCATGATCTTGGCAAGACTTTCATTTCCCTAAAATATATAATGTGGCATATCCCTCCCATGATGTCCTTACCACAACTCTTCAAGTTTTTTATTCGCCCGTATGGCACCAGAAAGAGCCAGTAGTTCGTCATCGCCGATGTCTGTCCATCCGATTCTAAAATGGGAAGTGTGAAACACAGTCTCAAATTCTCTCATTGTGCCCTTTATATCCACTTACAGCTGGTTTAAATGTTTTCTTAAAAAAGCTTGTGTAATCAGTTGACATCTTACCCTAGTTGCTGTAAATGTTCTGACACTTGCAGCACATCAGCAATGACCCGAGTTGCGTCCATACCGAGGATATTTTCTCCAAGCCTGTAATAATGAAATAGTGCATCAGTGCAAAAGCCACATTATATATTGTTTAAGCTGGTGTTGTTGACACTTTTTGCTGCATGCTATGTGATAAGTGTTAGGAACACAAGCCTGCAGATATTGAAAACAAAGAAAGAAACCTCCATGTGATAAATGCAAACCAGATTTACCTTGAACTCACCAAAGTCTGTTACATCTGAGCAGCAGTGGCTGAATATCTCTGAGGGCCTCGCAGCTTACTCCTGTTCCTGTCAGATCCAGCTCTAATATTTCCCCCTTGGTGAGGTTTAGGAAGTACTTGATGGCATTGTAATCCATTTGGGAGAGTGTTTCATCGCTAACATTAACCTGTAGTGTTTTAGGTTCCACGGAGAGGGCCAGAGAGGGGTCCTGTTGCTCAAACAGGCAGTGTAAATGGTTGAGGATAGGAGCTCCACTCTCACAGAGCATTGTGAGCTCTTTGATGATCCTCTGACGATAGCTGTCCACTTTCTCTTTATTGCAACTCAGCCCCACCTGCCTTGATAGAAGGTTAGCGTTGCGTTCAGCGAGGATTCCAGACAGGAAGCGATGGAAGAGGTCCAAATGTCCGCCGCTGGACCCCTCCCCAGGACTTGTAGTTTGCTGAAGAGCTTCAGGTAACGGGTGATCCGTCACCGCGCAATAAACTGCAGCGAAGAACTCTTGAACAGTGAGGTGTGCAAAGGAGTAAACCTCCTCAGTGCAGCCGGGCTCTTGTGCCACCGTCTTGTCCAGGAAGGTGCTTACAAGGATGCATCCCTCTAGCTCTGCCACGTCTTTGTCGCTGCTGTAGAATAGTGTTTGATGCTCCATCAGCTTTAGGAAGGCGAGTCGACCCAGCTTCAGTACGACTTTAGAAAGCCCTTCCTTTTGCCCTTGACTAAACGTTTGGGCTCTTGCTTGAGTGTGAGAGCGAAGCAAGGCCACCAGATACTGCACATAAATGTCCGTCATGGTCTTGGGGCTTTCTCCACTGAGGTCCTTGCTTTCTTGAAGGATGCAGCACACAATGTAGCAAAATGCAGGTATGTAGCATAGTGTTAGCATTAGCTCATTGGCCGATACCACTGCGAACATGCGGTCAGCAGTGGCACTGTCCTGGAAATACCGTAAGAAGAAGTCTTGAACTTCAGTCAGGGAGAAACCAGAGATGAGCACAAAGCGGTCGATGCAGCCCACCGGGATGTGGTTGATGGCTGCAGGTCGACTTGTGAGCATGATAGAAGCGTTGGGGAGCAGTTCGCCTTGCATCAGACTCCCTAAGACCTCCACCACCTCTGCATCCTCATCAGGCTCAGTCACGAATGTGTCTACATCACAGCTCCTGTAGTGTCTGAACTCATCAAAGCCGTCTAAGATGATCAGCAGTTTGTCGTCGTTCTCTAAAATGTTATCCAGTTCCTTAGCCAGGTGCCTGTTTTTACGCAGCACCAGCTCCCGGAAGTTCGTAGGTTTGTCGATCAGATTGAGGTCTCTGAAGGTCATGTGGATGATGAAGTCAAATCCAAGATGGTCCCTGTTTCCTCCAAAATCAAAAAGCATCTTCTGCACCAGGATGGTTTTTCCGATGCCCGCCACCCCCGACACCAACACTTTCTTGACTGGATGTTTTCCATTTGTGCTTAGAAAGAGTTCGGCCGGTGTGATTTTTCTCTGCACCGCTGACTTCTGCTGCAAAGACAGTCGCTTTTGACCAAACGTCAGCACCTCATGTCTTTTCATATCCAAGCCCTGGTGTCCGTCTGCCAACAAGAGATTGACGTAGTGTTCGGAAAAAAGAATTTTCTCCCCGTGTCGAGTGTTGTAGAAGAGCATGCTCTCACTCCGCCGCTTGATGACATCTTTATGCTTTTGTTGGACTTTCTTATATTCTGCAAAGAGAAGATAATGTGATAAGAAAAGTACTCTTACATAACAATGCAATGCTTTTCCACATGTACCTCCATTCCTTACTTCTTACTTGCTACCCCTTTCCCTCAACCTATCCTAAGGGAGTGCATGTACGTAGACACGTTAGTTTAGCTGCTATAGGCTTAGACTGTCGGGGGACACCTTACTTCTTCCTTCTGTCTGTCTGTACCTGTGTACTCTCATGTTCCGAATAACCCAGCTTCCCCCAAATTTCTTTTTGGTGTCTGTCTACGCCGGGATCCTGAGTCGTGGCTGATGCTGTTGCTGTGGTCCTGAGTCCTGTATCCTGTATCCTGAGTTCTGGATTTGAGTCCTGGACTTCGAGTCGTGGCTGAACCTGTCACTGTGGTCCTGCCTGACTCTCATCATACTACTTCCCTGATGGCTCCCACAGGATTGTTGACATCCTCGTGGATTCATCTTCTTATTATAGACACATGCATTTCCAAACATTTGGTCTACCTATGCTGTCAAATGTATTATCTCTTCGATTTACACACGGCACCTATTGCACGTCTGTCCGTCCTGGGAGAGGGATCCCTCCTCTGTTGCTCTCCCTGAGGTTTCTCCCATTTTCCCCTTTAAACTGTGGGGTTTTCTCTGGAACTTTTTCCTTGTACGATGTGAGGGTCTAAGGACAGAGGGTGCTGAGACAAATGTAACATTTGTGATATTGGGCTATATAAATAAACATTGATTGATGTTAAATTTGCAGCATTTTTTTCATCTTAAATGTACCAACTTTGAATTGAATTGCATACCCACGGATTGAGGCGGATCTGCATTTCCTTCTTTGGGGTGTATCTGTGCCTCTTGCTGATGATGACTACTAATTGAAAGAAAAATATCAGCTGCTTCATTGCCTTTACATTCCAGGATATCCAACACCTCTCTTACTCTTGCCCGGGGTCCCAAATGACACAACACCTCCTCACGGTCGTCACGAGTGAACACTTCCCGACTTACTAAGATTTCCAGCAGAGAGTCAATTCGTCCTTCCAGCTCATCCACCAGGGAAACTCGCAGAACCCGGAGTGCTTTCAAACTAGAAATACAACCATCCCTTTCCACCATAACGAACCTGAACAAAATCCTCAGCACGAATCAGAAAAGTAAAGTTATGATGTGCTGATGGAGCCTTGTGAATTGTAGCATTTCTCTCATTTTGTAAAGCAATTTCCCCTCTTAGTTCAGAGGAATCCAGCAAAAGCATGTCCTTCTTCCAGGGCGGAGAAGTAGAAAGTGAACTGTTTGTTGTAAATGAGAAAAAAATAAGGAAGTGCACTCCAGTATGTCGAGCACATGAACGCAGGGTTATGACATGTTAACACTTGAGGATATTACAACCTGTTTTTCTGGTAACTGTAGAAACTCCCACTGCAGTAATGTAAGTTCTGCTGAGTGATGTGAGTAATGTACATCTGAAATTCCAGCAGCTGTGCTAAAGAACCATATACAAACAATCACAGCTTTATGACTGGACTAAATAATGCAGTCAGTTTTGTTTTTAGAAAGACAAAAATCCACAACAAACAGTTTATAAAAGGAATGTATTTGGCTTTATTAAATGATAAACCAGGCATGAGCAGAAAGCAACACATCAGTTCACCAGCAGAGGGTCCCTATTGCATGCACATCAAATACCCCAAAAACTGTTGGAAAAAGAATACTTAAAACCCACCCCTGCAATTATTTACAAAACTATGCACAAGAACACACATGAAAATAAATAGTTAAAAGGACATACCAAATATCTACATAACTTAAGAGCATAGGTCATATGTCTTTCATGTTTTTACTTTCACAAAATCAAATAACCACACCTGCGAAGGTATCTGAAAATGAAGCATCAAGGAACTCGGGGGAAAAAGTCAGAAAGTGCAAACCCTGCCGATCTGGCACAAGTAATGATCTTTAAAAAGCTCCCTAATGTTTGAACCGATATTGAAATATAACGCAGATTTCATATTATGTTTAAGCTCAATCAACACTGAGATCTGTCAAAGAAATGACATAAGGTCTTTCAATTGAAACCGTCTTCCTTAAATGTCACACTAAAAAAAATGTGATTTAGTTGGAGGGGAGGAACAGTTACGCTCACATCCTGTTCACAAAGTGGTTAAAGGGACATTTAAACAAATATCTTAACGAGAAATACAAAAAAGAATCACAAAAAAATATATAAACAATGTAACTTTACAAACTAAAAAGAACTCCGCAAGCAATGTTCTGAACAAAGACTTGGATGAGTTGAGTGCAATATAAATGTGTATTTCTTAAAAAATTCGACTTGCTTCAGTCATACACCTCCATAGTGCAACCCATGCAAGATAAAAATGTACTTTTTATTCTGCAAAACATGCAGCTACAACTCCTGCAATCATACTTCCTTTGCCCTCCGAATGACCCGACCGATGGATAACAACATCTGCTATTACCAAATCTTTTCTCATGTGGATGATACCATTTGTACCATCATCAGATATTATGACAGCCATTTCCCTTCAGAGGATTAGGCTGTGTTTAGAGTTTACCCACAACTCTTTATTACAAATGTATTTAGCATCAAACCTTTTCATCAACACTGTTTTGGACACCCTTGCAATAAAGGCAAAACACACAACTATCCAGTGGTTATCAGAAGCTCAGGGGGCTACCCAGAATCCCTGGGTGGGAAGTCAATTGTTGAAAAAAAAGTACATGAATTACACATTTGTGTTTATAGGCCTAATTGCACAACTGTAATTATTATTATTTGAGGAATACCCTGAAACTACCAGTATTTTTTTATATTCTCTTTATATGTTATTTGTTACTTGGAAAATCCCAGGTTGTATATGAATAACCTACTTGTCAATAAACCTTGTTTTGAATGTGATTTATGAGTTCCCCTTCATGATACCACGCAGTCACCAGCAGTTTCAATCAATCACAAGGGAAATGTATGATACGTTACGTTTGCTTAATTCAGGAAAGCTTCATGAGCGTCAGATTTAAAAAGAAGTCAAACTTCATTAAAGGTCACTCCTCTCACATCTTTGAAAATTCAAACCCACACATGATTTCTTTGAGGGAAGTGGATCACCACCATCCAATTGTTCCTCAGGTGTCCACATCCAGCGCTGACCACTGGACACAGCTGTGGGTGTGAGGATGGGGCGTCCAGGTCTTAAGTCTCTGTTGGCCGTCCCCGACTTCTCCAGGTCGTCCCTGGCCCTCGTCTTAACCCCCCCTTCGCCCTCCTCAGGTGTTTTTGCAGGAATGACAGCAGCGGCTCTTGAACTGAGGCAGAGTGCAGAGCTCCAGCTGCCGGACCTTCTCACAGTACCTCGTGCTGTCCCGACACTCTCCGGCTGGAAAACACAGACGATGCAGTTTAATACCAATACTCACTTTAAGCCTCTCCACACGATAAAGACCAGACAAGACAAGATCTAGTTTAACCTATCGTAAGCTTTTTTAACCCTGAAGGAAATGTGTGTGCATACAAAGTGTATAGGACCAATACTAGCCATTGCCTTAAAAAACAACAATACAAGTAAATCGGTAAAATAAGTCAACAAGAATAGAAACATAAATTACAACATCTTAAAAAACAAAGAAAATGTATAAGTGTTTATTAATCAATACTAATATTGATATATCTTTTTTATTTATGATTTATTTTTAATATGTAAGTCTATTCTTCTCACTTTATCTGCTTTTGTAATAATGCTAAAAAAAAAATTGTAGTACAATGCTAAATACCCTATGTGTGATTATTCAGTACAATAACTGAAGGGTGTATAAAGTGTATATTTGTAATGCTATTTGAGCATAATCTTGTTTTTATTCCCCTTACATTTGATATGATTCCCGAGGAATTTCCACCATCAACAAATGCAGTAATACCATATTCAACATTGTGTACAAAATAATTTTTAAATCAACCAGTTCTACATGTTTCCATCGTGCAGCTTCCCCTCACCTCTGCCGCAGGACAGGATGTTGCATCGCTGCCAGCTGGGGGGGCGGGGCCTCCACATGCAGTGATGTTCCCGCGTGGCCTTCCCTGTCCTGCGGTGCGCGCAGGTCACCTGACGGGACTGGAAGCCGTGCCGTCCACAGGTGGCGGTGCACGGCGTCCAGGGCCCCACGCGCCAGTGGAGTAGACACACCTCTGTGGAGCAATTCTTCAGGGAGACGGGTCTAAAAATACAAATGCATAACAGGAAATGGTCAGGAAGCTCGAAGAAATATATGGGGAGTGGCTTTTACACTGAAAATGTGATATTATCTATTCCACATCAACATCATATTTTCACTCCTGATATACATTTATATTATAATACCCATATTTACCTCTGGAGTCCACTGCACATCCTGTAGGAGACTTTGGTGGTGTTTATGTCCTGGCAGTAAACATGGCGGTGCTGTGTAGCCAAACTGGGACCCACACATTGACCATGACACTAAAAAGGGAAGATTTAATCAGAATTACAAGCGAGTTCAGCTTTTTAGATGACATACTTCCTTGTGTCAGCCAGACTCATGACTCATAACACATTTAGATTGTATATTAAAATTAGATGTCCATTTTTTTTCAAAGGCAACCAGATATACAGGCTGGAATTTTTTTTTAAACATGATGTGCATGTCATTAACAAAGATACAAAGGGTGACTTCCCTTATTGCAACACATCTTTGGTTACTATTTAAAGAATGATTAGCAGGCTGCTTCCCCTTTAAATCATTTGTAAAACAAATAAACACCAAAAAGTACTTGGCATATGAAAAACTCCCCCAAATGAACAGACTAAGAACTGACACGCAATGTCTAACGTTGAACCTGTTTCAAACTAAATAAAAACAGCCTCTATATACAGAAGTGTGTGTAGTGAATGGAAGCAGACTCACGGCCCCCCAGCTGGTGGAGGCCCACCGGGCGCAGGGCAGCTGGTTGCAGGGCCGGCTGTCGGAGGGTCTCCTCCCGCTGCCCAGGCACTGCCGGCTCTCCACCTCTCTGGATCGGCCCTCAGGACCCTTCAGGCAGCGGACACTCCTGCTCTGGGACCCCCCTCCACAACTGGCTGAGCACGGTGACCAGGGGTCCATCCGCCACCTAAAAGCAACCACAGAGGAAAAGTGGACAATGACTTACAGTGTTTATACAGTTATAATAATAAAGTATCAATCTTTGTTTTGGCCAACAGAGGGACTCATCACCTAAAAGGACATGTGTTGTTCCTTTAGAGTAAAGACATGTAGGCTACTTATCTATAGTCAGTGCATAAATAGCGGAAAACTCCACAAGAGTACCAGCTGGAAGTAATGTGTTGCTGTGGAAAGAGGCAGCAGAAAAATGCATTTTATACACCTAAATAATAAATATCAGTTTTAACTGTACGCTATATTTAGAATATATTTACTGCTTTAATTTGTCATCAGACAGTCTTACAATTTGCTTCTGCCCTCATACACAGCAGTACATTGCTTTTTTCTCAATATAGGCACTTTTTTTTCCAAAGGGCCAGTCACACACTGACCATGGAGAATACTTCATACAACTCCATATACCTTTAAGTCTTTAACTTTGTGCTATCCTGGAAACATCTGAGTATTTTCCTTAAAAAATAAAGTTGCCAGTTCTCTAGGTACATGTAGTAAGTTTGGAAAGCAAGTAAATGGGGAATTAGGAATGTGACCAGCATGTAGTAGCAGCAGTGTACCTGAGGGGGCAGGCCTGTCCGTGGCACAGCTCTGCAGACTGGCTGCTGTTGCTCCTCTCAGAGCAGATAGGCCCATTTGCTCCAATGCCATTACTTTGGACACAGCTTCTTCCTTTGCCACCTGAAAACAGACATTTAAAACGATATTATTGTGCTCTTGGATTCAGCAGACATTTTAAAAAGACACCATATAAAACTGGGTGTATCTGAAGATGATCTTGACCCCAAAAGTCCTGATATGTGTTTTTTTATATAGGCATCAAGATGAATAAAATGGGTATAACGGGTCCAACATAGAAAAAATGTAACCACTTTTTGATTTAAAGCGCAGGTTGGACACTTTTCAGCACCTTTAAGCCCCTTTATCTTCCTTTGAGGTCAAGCGAGTGGGGTGCACCCAGTTAATCTTCTTTGAAACATTGCCTGGAACCTCTAATTGTTGTCGTATGGGGAGAAAGAGTGCCGGAGCATCAGGAAGACCCTGCGGTCGGCGGCTTTGATCAAAATGCAGCGAGGTCGCCAACAATCAGGCTCCGATGAGACGAATGACAGCGCCGCTCAGAT